ATATAGACCCGAGGAACGCTCATGGGTACCTAGGACCGATATACTGGACCCCGCCTTAATGTCTGAGTTCCATGCTGCCCATCCTGATCAGCCGGCACCTCGGGGCAGAGGTAGACCACCACGACGTCGGGGTTTTCGGCCCTCAGGAGCGGGCCATGGAGGGGGGGTACTGTAAAAGATCGGGTAGACCACCACACCACCCAATCACAACGATCCCTCTCACCTGAGTTCTGAGCACCTGTCACCAATCAAGCACCTCATTACCAGCCTGCATAAAAGCACACACCTCAACCACCCTCACTGTCTGGTCTCGTATACACGTAGAGGACTCAATGAATTTGCTACTTCTTCCATTTGAATACTTCCTGCATTACTTACCTCCTAGTGTCTCCTGTTCCTCCTAGTTCACGGATCGCTGAGGTGTGTGCTCCTCCTGCCTGCATTCCAGCTCCGGTAAAGCCAAAGACCCGGATTACCCCGCTCATCATATCCTTCGAACGATTCCCTCACCATCACATCCACTGAACCCTACCCCAGTACTCTCTGTGTCCGAATAAACCTATTTTGATATATGCTAACCTGTTGCGTCAGACCTCTTCCGTTACACAAGCATGTTTGAGCTTTCGTTTACCATATTTGATGGGTTTATGTGTGTGATGTAGCCTGTCGTTTACTGTGTCTGTATCATCCCAGACCCTCTGATAAAAGGGCCCACTAAGATATTGAATAGTATTGTCTATTTAAAAAATATCAAAGCCAGGTCCTGTGAATGTTAGTGACAACCCTGGCTCTATTCAACACATCTTTTGCGAATATGTACCTCAAGACCTGTAGGTAGTCATGAAGGTATCATTGCCTCAAAGAAGTTGGAATATCTTGTTCTCCAGCAGGACCTTTGTTGTGCACAGTAGGTCAGGTAGTATCAGTTTGCAGTCCGTATCTTTAAGTGTGGAGTCTTTGAAATGTTTTAGGCACATCTGGAGCTATAATTCAGCTGCTGTCAGTTTGTAATGTGAATCATGGCACTCCAATCCTCCTCAGCAGACCCAGCTTTTGCACCATAGCAATGGCCTCCTCTGTAGATTCCTCAAAACACCAGTGATTAGCATTCCATGCAAAATTATGAGAGTGTGTTTATAAAATTGTCTTGCCTAGTACAATATGACCATGATTTACTGCTTTTCAAATAAAAACATGCTTTTAGTCATATCAGTGAGCAGTGTTGGGGGTAACGCATTACAAGTAACATGAGTTACGTAATCAGATTACTTTTTTCAAGTAACTAGTAAAGTAACGCATTACTTTTTAATTTACAAGAGAATATCTTATCTGTTTCAAATAAGTAACCCAAGTTACTTTTTTTTCCAATTTATTGATTGACAGCTCTCCTGTCCCCATGTTGAGAGAAATCAGAAGATGTTACTGTAGTTCTAAAATAAATATGAATATGCATTAATTCATCTCACTCACAAAAAAAACACAGATTCAGTATTCCTCAAAATGAATAAAAATTATGCAACTCAGAATATGACGCAAACCTACAATAGTTAAAATGTTAAACAACACAAATGTCCTTTATGTATTTAATCCCCTATTAACCAATGTCTTTGCTTCTGACCTTCGATGATCCAGTTCAACCGTACTAATAAGCAAAAATTACTCTAGATAAACATTTGTGTGTCTTTTTTTTATTGCTAAAGTGTGTTGAAATTTCTTCTTCTTCATTCTACTGTATGGACGTAAATTTACTTTCCCTTCTGCCTGAGGCTTATTCATTTCACTTTTGGTATGAAAAGGCTTTTATACTTGCCAAAAATATAACTTTTTTATTTAAAAAAAACAAACAAGCAAGCCCTGTCCAGATTAAAAAAGTAACGCAAAAGTAACTTAACACATTACTTTCCATAAAAAGTAAATAAGTAACGTAATTAGTTACTTTTTTATGGAGTAACGCAATATTGTAATGCATTACTTTTAAAAGTATAACTTTCCCCAACACTGTCAGTGAGTAAACAAGTGTGGGTTAAGAGTTGAGGAAACATATTCGGATAACGTTTTGAATTAAATGCTAATGCAGTGTTCACGACAACTCTGAGATTCTGCTCTCGTTTCAGTTTAAATTATTTTTTAAATTCTAGCTTAATTCTAGTTTCAGACAGTATTTGTTTCTGCGGCAACAGTCCTAAATGCCAAAATGAAGCCATTTGCAGCTTTGTTGGAAATTACAGCTAAATTCACATCTTATCATAAAGAAAGCGCAACACTGGTCATAACAGAACAGAAATGTGTGTCATGTTTCAGTTCTGTTTGGACTTTATTTGCGTTTGCACCATTTCCCTGTCTGTGTTAGTCACCAACCATGGCTACTGATTTGATTTGCCATCAAGTTCAGCTGTGTCATCTTGTTAGCCTGTGTATTTAAGGTGCTGTGTTTTCAGTACAAGCTTTCTGGACTCGTCAGTAGTGTTATGTCAGTGCGTTGCCTGTCTGTGATTTGCTGAAGCTGCCCTGGCTTTGAATTGCTTGTGTGTTGTATTAAAGACTTTTAGAACCTTCATCTTCATGCGTTTATGTACAGTGAATTGTGACAGTGTGTAGAGGTTGCTAGTAGCAACCATTTTGGCGTTTACATGATGCCATAATCAAATGAGAGCTTTCACAAAATTGAGTTGTAGTTACATGTTTGATAAAGATATGAAAGGACAAGTTGGAAGCTCAAAATTACAGTAATTCTGACATGGCACAGCTCAAATGCACCATAATATTTAGCTAGCCAGAATAATTTTTATTGACACCTTTGCCAAACAATCTTACACTTTCATTGTGTTTGGCCATTATTCAAAAGAAAAGGATTTGTATTATAACAAAATGTTGTAGCTGAAAATAAAGCTAGAGATAGAAAAGACTGCTTGTACAGTATTAGTTATTGTACATTGTAATCTGACTGTAAAGGAAACACACCTGTCTTTAGCCCATAAACTTTTGCATTAAAGTTTTTGTTGCATTTGCAGGTTTATGAAATGATTAATTGAATTCAACAGTTTGAAATAATCAATTTGATCAAACATCCCAGCACACGAGTGGCTAGTGCTGCAGGAGTAAAGAATTATCTTGCAAATACTTTACAAGATCAGAGTAACGTTTTTCAATTAGCCAGGCATGCAGTTTACTCTTTTCTATTATAAGAAATGCTTTAGAAGTCAATACCATTCTCTCTTTAGAATGAGTAATTGCTTAATTGTTTCTTTCTGAGTATGCTGAGAGCTTGACATTTTTAACAAATTAGGCATATTTCTCTGTGTCTGCATCACTCTGTGCATAATTGAGTGCTAGTGTCAGACTCTGGCCTCAGGAATCTCTCTGAAAAAGCTCTTAATAAAAAGAGTACTTCTCATCTTTGTTCTCCCCTCCCCCACCTCCACCTCTCTGTTTTCTTTCCTTCAATAGCTTAATCCCTCTCGCTTTCTTAATTAATCTTTCATCTTCTCCCTTCTGTTGATCTATGGATGTTCCCTTTTTTTT